AGAAGCAGTGGAGATGCTCAGCCACCAACACGAGGAGCAGGCAGGTGGCCTTGGAGCTATGGAACACTTCTGGGTCTGTAAATCCATTCCTCATCTCAGCAGCTGATTGATCCTTGGTTTTTTGAACTCAAATTCAATGTTTAAGAGTAACGATTTCCAAGTGAACACAGAATGGCTCAGATATATCGGCAGTTTTCATGGATCAGAGGCAAAAGCCTCAATCCCAGACCCTGAGAAATGCAAACATGTCTGTCCCCATCACAGAACAACAGCAAGGACTGGTGGTGGTGCAAAAACACCTTCAGAAATCACAGACAATCAGAGAATTTTAGGGTTTGGAATGGAGCTTAGAGATGATCCAGCCCCAACCCCTGCCCTGGGCAGGGATACCTCCCACCAGAGCAGGTTGCTCAAAGCTCAGCCAACCTGGCTGTGAACACTGCCAGGGTTGGGGCAGCCACAGCCTCCCTGGGCAACCTGGCCCAGGCCATGGGCCAGCTGGGATGCTCCTCTGACTCCCACAGGGCTGTCCTCGGGATACAGGCAAGTTTACTGACAAGATCTCTGCAAACCCACACCAAACCAACCCTTTCCTTCCTCCAAATCAAACACCAAGAGCAGCATTCTCCACACTGGCTCATCAGGAAGATGCCACAGCCCCTGAGCAGGAGAGGAACGAGCTCCCACAGCACTCAGGGCAGCACTGGGGGAGCTCCTGGAGCAGAGGAGATGGGAAGGGGGGCAGGGACACAGGGGGAAGGACAGCCCTGTTTTCTCCTTGGGAAAGGAGCCTGAGAGGCACCAGAAGCTGAGAGGCTCAGAAATAATGATCTGAGATGGCTCTTACTTAAAGCCCGGCTGCCTGCTGTTTCCACCGCGCTCCGACTCGCACCAACACTGAAAATTAAATATACATAAGTGCTTTCAAAGAACTGTTAATTTGAAGGTCATTAAATGGCATAAAATACATCCCTTTTTTTTCTAGAAAGAGGTGCATAATGATGCCATTAATACACACTGCTGCTCCCTGCCCAGCGCTCGCTCCTGCCTTGGATGCGCGATGGCTTGGACTCACCTCCGCCCGCAGCGACACAACATCTTGTTTTAATTACTGCTACTCAGAAAGCTGCTGCCTCCTCCAGCACACCCAGGGATGGGGCTGTATGAAAAACATGACAAAACTCTGGGGAGAGCAACACAGCTGGATGGCAAACAGGGATTTTTTGGGAGCAACAGCAGGGCTGGCAGTGGAGGATGCAGAAGGGTTGGTGCAATACGCAGTCCAGACATGAGCATCTTGCCCACAGTTCTCACAGTGAGACCTCGGGCCAAGCTCAGAGCAGCAAAAAGTCCCTTTTCTGGTGTAACGCTCCATGCAAAAAAAAAAAAAAAGACAAAGCCAACCCAGACATGAAGAAACCCTAAAAAGGAGACAAAAGGGCTGAGGGTTCTACAGTTGCCAGAGAAACAGAGAGAGGGAGCTGACAACTGCAAAGTGTCTCATGAAGGGATGGGATGGGGGTGAGAGTCAGGTGGGCTCACCTGGGTGAGTGGCTGCATCCGTGTGCTGCTACTCAGTGCTGAGCCAGAATGCAGCAAGGAAAAAGGCACTGCCACCAGGCCCCAGACACAAGTGGGGGCAAGAGTCCACCCCAGCAGGGTCCACCAGCGATGGGCACCTCCCAGCACTTGCCCAGGAATCCACCAGGACCCTGTGTGATGGATGGAGCCCAGCCCACAGGAAAGGTCTGTGGAGTTGGTCCTCTTTGATCCAAAATGCCTTTTTCTACCTTTTAAACCAAAACTTTGTGGGGAAAAAATAATTTCTGAGCCATCCCTTCCCCTTTGGGATCAAAGAAAGGAAGTCCAACAACAACTACAGCACAGAGAAGAAGATGGGGTTGGAATGGAGTTTAGAGATGATCCAGCCCCAACCCCTGCCCTGGGCAGGGACACCTCCCACCAGAGCAGGTTGCTCAAGGCTCATCCAACCTGGCTGTGAACACTGCCAGGGTTGGGGCAGCCACAGCCTCCCTGGGCAACCTGGGCCAGTGTCTTAACACCCTCACAGGGAAAAACCATTTTCCTCATACCTAATCTAAATTTTCTCTCCTTCAATTTGAACCCGTTACCCCTTGTCCTGTCCCTGCAGCTCCTAACACAGATCCCTCTGCAGCTTCCCTGGAGCCCCTTCAGATCCTGGAAGGTGCTCTGAGGTTTCCACACAACCTTCTCTTCTCCAGGCTCAACAGCCCCAACTCCCTCAGCCTGTCCTCACAGGGGAGATGCTCCAATCCTCTTAGCAACTTCATTGCCTCCTCTGGACTTGCTCCAACAGTTCCATGTCCTTCTCACACTGAGGCACCAGAACTGTGTGCAGGATTCCAGGTGGGTCTCAGCAGGGCAGATCAGAGGGCGAGAATCACCTCCCTTGCCCTGCTGCCACACTCCTGTGGCTGCAGCCCAGGCCTGGGCTGGTTCCTGGCTGAACTAACCCTAAGACACAATGACTCTGGACTGAAGGCTGCCCATTAGAACATTCTGCAGTGGTGTGGTGGCACAGAGAGCAGCAGGCTCAGCTGCCTCCAGGTGCTGGCACAGCCGGGCAACACGTGGCGGGGGAGTCGTAGAGGTGGACTATTGATATTTAGCCTGTGTGGCTGTCAGTCGTGTCTTTAAATGCCTTTAGCTTCCTTCTAATAAAAGCGAAATCATAAAAAAAGCCCACAAAGGACCCTCCAGTGCGGGCGAATATCAATGTGGCGAGGCGGCGCATTAGCATGCGCGGCGCCCGCTCCATCTGCATGTTGTGCTGCGTGTGACAACATCCTGGAATACAGATTTGGGCCGTGAGGATCCCGAGAGGTATTAGCAACCGTCTATCAGACAGGACGAGGAGCAGTCCCTGCTGTTGTAAACAAGGGGTGTTTTTCTCTGCCTCTTTCTCTGGGGGGAGTTCAGTGATTGGAAACAAGCTCATTCCCTGCATCATGTTAGCTCCTGTTCTTTAGCAGAGCGTGGGTCATGCTCCTTAGGAGACTGAGGAAATCAAACTGGAGGTGTAAGGAGCACCCCACCACCAGGGTCCTTCACATGCAGGTGGTGCCAGCTGAACCTCATGAACCAGGCACCTGCTCCCTGTGGCACACACAGGGGTTCCCCCAGCCCCAGCACAGGGGACAGTGGTCACACCCAGGACATATGGACAGGTGCTACCAGCAGCCAGACAAAGGCCTTGTCCCCTTGTGTCTGGTGGCAGCAGGCAAACCTGGTGAGTCACCTCCAGGCACAGATGGAATCTGATGGGGCAGATGGATGTGGAGCAACCCCATGGATGCAGGGCAGCCTCACAGCAAGGACATGGGGAAAACACCCAGTAGAGATGGATGTGAGGCATCCTCACAGCACGGAGGGACACGGGGTGTCCCTGCAGCCCAGACAAATGTGGGCACCCCCACAGTGCAGACACAAGGCATTCCCATGGCACAGGAGGAAGTGGGACACTTCTAGGACATGGACAGATGCAAAGCATCCCCACAGCACAACCACACGTGGGGCATCCCCACGGTGAGGACCAGAGGGTCTCCACACACCTTGAGCCACCACACCACCGAGTCAGGGCTGGGACCAGCAGCCCTGGAGGCATGGCCAGGCAACTAGCCCCTGGCACCGCTCCCCTGGCCACGTAGGTGCTGCTGGCTGCAGGGTGATGGATCATTACAACTCACACACAACCCTGTAAGTAAAAGCCTTATTAAGAGTTCATTCACTTCATAAGCTCCCAGCACGATCCGCGGGGGGAACTCGGATTGCCCAGCCTTACAATATTCTGGGTAAACACTGACATGCGTCTAGCAATTTTAACTGGATCAATTTGCAAAGGAGACCAACGGAGGAGTGAAATAAAAAGAATAAAAATCAAATTAACCACGGGGAAGCATCCACTGGGAGAGGCTGTAAGGAAGCCAGCAGAAAAATATGGAAAAGGATGGACAGAGAAGCACAGGAGACAAATGGACCTACCTCTGAAGCCATGAAACCTAAGTCCGTAAATCAACACCAAAAATCCTTAGGTCCTCAAGATGGGGGGAAAAAGTCCTCCATAGCCATCTTCCACACCTCCACGAGGCTCTGGAGGCCTGAGCAGTCCATTTCCCAGAGCATCTCTCCTCCTCCTCCAGCAGCCACCAACCCAGTCACAGCATCTCGGCAGCTCCTCCGGTCCCATCCCGTCCCCACCATGCTGGCCTCGATGTCCTCCTCGCCACTCGCAGGATGCTGAGCTCTTGCTTATCACCAGGTGCTTCCTGGCCACCTCCTGCCCCTGGGGGCTGTGGGCAGCACCCCAGCCCCCCCAGGCCACAGGGTCAGCGATGGTTTGGGATACAGACAAGCAGTGAGTCCACGGTAGGTTGACAACATACACAGGCGCACGAGCGCGCACACACACACACACACAGGAACACCTCTTTCTGTTTTCCAGGATGGAGATTTTTTGTGTTTGTTTTTTTTTTAATCCTTTTTTTTTCCTTTTTGCAAAAAAAATGCAAGCAAAAGAGAAAAAAAACAAAACCCAAAAACCAAAACCCAAGGTTTTCTATTGAAGGTACATCTCTTCTTCAATATGAAGACATTAACTGGATTGAGTCGGATCCCCCATGCAGTGGTCAACGAAGTCCTTTGGTAGTTGCCGGAGCGGCAGCCAGGTAGGATGGCAGGGAGCTGTGGAGACGTCTGAGGACACTTCCACACAGTCCATGAGCAGAGAGGGGAGTGGGGTGAGCCGGGAGGGCTGGGGCAGGGCGGGAGGGCAAAAGAAAAGGCAGGTGGTTTTTCCGTATGAGACACTCCATCTCGTGCCTCTCCCTTCCCCAACAGCCCCTTCCTCCTCCTCAGTTTCGACCACTGCTCACTGGTGGTGGGATTGGAGTCTGGTCTCTAGGGTTTGGGTTTGCTTCCCCAACACGCATTGGTTTGTCTTCATTGTCTTTTTTTGTGTCTTTTTTTTTTTTTGTTTCATTTTGCTTTTTAAATATAGGATTTGTACATATTTATATGTATTTATAGGCTGTTCCCCATGACATTGGTAAGTGTGCTTCTGTGGGTGAGGAACAAAGTCACCAAGTTAGAGATGAGCCCCAGGAACATCCTTCGCCTGCAGTCGCAGTCCCTGGGAGCGGTGGCTCCTCCTCTCTGAGCCGTCAATTCCTCCCCTCCCAGCTCTGCCCTCCCGTGCCCTCCCTGTGGAACAAGGGACGTCATGCCATCGAGGTGGGAGACTGGCTCATCTGTACTCGCATGGACTGGACGCTGTTCAGGATCTTCTTCTGGTGCCCAGCCAAAGTCACCCCTATTCTCAGGAGGTCTCTGGAAGACAGACAGAGGAATATCAATGGTCAGCTGAGGGTGGTGTACTCATTTTGCTGTCTCAAAGTGAAGTGAAGTGAAGCTGAAACAGTCACAGCACAGCCCCGTGAGCATCACCGGGACTGAGAGCAGGGAGACACCCATACAGTGACCCCCAAACGGTGAACAAGGCCACCTCCAGACTCAGGGTGCTCCTGAGCAGTGTGAGGGATGCTCACACCCGGCCTCTGCCTTGAACTGACCTTCCCACCTCCCCTAACTCCCAACTAGGCAGCACCCAACTTTCAGGCACCCCCGGCACGGCGCCCAACTCACTCAGATGTCATCTGGGCAACAAGCTGCAGGGAGGTGAAGCCAGCAGTGAGGAAGCTGTCCCGGTACTGGCTCATCTTCACAGCGCTCAGCCAGTCATCTACTGAGGTAAAGGCAGTGAAGTCAGGGATGGAGCGGTCGAGGAGGGGCTGAGAAGGCCTGAAACAGGACACACCGCTGGAGACAAGCCAGGCCAGCACCGAGGGGCTGCCACGAGAGCCCAGCCAGTCCATCCCCTGGCACACCCATGCCCCAGGAAGACCTGACCCATGGGAACACTGCTGTGCCAGGCAGTGCTTTGCAGCCCTGCCCACTGCAATCCAGCTGAGGACGCCACCGGGACAGAGGAGCCGCCTGAGCAGTCGCCACGCCCGTACGGTCACACGCCGTAAAGAATCGATAGCCAAGAATTATTGCTGTTGCTCGGCTGAAAACTGCCTGTCAAGCAGAGCAAAGACAGAAACCCCCACACCCACCAAACGAGTTAGGAATCCTTCTCCCCGTGGAGCCTTTGGCCGGGGCTCAGGCGCGTTCCTCACGCTCCCGGAACTCACACAGCGGTGATGGTAGCCACAGTTTTGAGGCTCGCCGGGTTGCGGATCATTTTGTCGAGGGTGTTGACGATCTCGGTGAAGCGCGGGCGGGTGTTGCGGTCCTTCTGCCAGCAGTCCAGCATCAGCTGGTGCAGCGCGGCCGGACAGTCCATGGGCGGCGGGAGCCGGTAGTCCTGCTCGATGGCGTTGATGACCTGAAGGCAGAGAGGGAGGATGAGGGACTTGGAGGTGGTGTGGGCTGAGCAGGCAGAGATGCTGCAGGCAGCAGGGAAGGCACTGCCAGCCCAGCTGATCAGCAGCAAAGGGAGCTCCGGCGGAGCTGGGGCTCACGGAGGTTAATCTCCGCTCTGATGCTCCGCGCGCTGCAGCTCCTGCCGGCAGAGAGCTGCCACTCATTATCTCGGCGGAGTACAGCAGTCACACTTCCAAAGCTCCTTCCCTGCTCATAAACCCTCTGAACGTTTTCAAAGGCCCTGCAGTTTGCTGAAATCCAATTACCAGTCCACTGCCTTTTCTTCCCCATTTCCCTCCTTGCATTCTCTCGCTTGCCAGTCAGTTTCATCTCCAAAGCCAAGTGCTCCCAAGGCTCCAGGAAGAAGCAGACAGCCGTTCAGGCAGGGCTTTTCTTTTGGGAATGTGTCCCACCCCACACCCCCAGAGCAGTGTGGATGTCTCCCGGTGCTTACGTCTTGGTTGGACATGTCCCAGTAGGGCCTCTCCCCGAACGACATCACCTCCCACATGACGATGCCGTAGCTCCAGACGTCACTGGCCGAGGTGAACTTGCGGTAGGCGATGGCCTCTGGTGCCGTCCACCTGACGGGGATCTTCCCCCCCTGTGGAAAAAGGCAGGGCTGCTGAGAGACAGCTCCCTTGGCAGAGGAGCCTGGACACCCACCAGCCAGGGCTGGGGCTATCCCACACACCCTCAGCCACTGGTCCCTGGGGGCCACAATGAGGAGTGGGCAGGTTGTACCTGATGGGAGTGGAAAACACCTCCATGAACATATCTTGTGCCTGCCCGAAAGGGAGTAAGTGAACAAATCCAACGGGTTTATCCAAGGGTTTATCCCACTGAGTGACACCACCCTGCAGGATCTGCACATGGGTGGCCTGTCCCCAGCTCCCTTCCCAGGGAGACATCAGCTGACAAGGCTCCACAGCACTGTTAGTGCTCCATCATAGGAAAGGAGCCACAGGTATCCTGTCCCTTGGCCTTCAATGGCAACAAGGTCAAACCTAAGAACATCCTCTACGGATTCATCTCACCTCCCACAGCTGCTGAAAGACCCTTCCAGCCTCAGTTTTGGAGTAGAAAGCAAAAAGCAAAACGTAAGACCCAACAGAAAGGACTGTAGTAGGAAAGTGCCTTTGACTGAGAGCTCCTTGTTTCTCCTAAGAGCTCAAACTCAGGCTCAGCATCTCAAGCCACCCAACCAAGCCAGGGCAGGCCCCAGGGCTGGAGCTGTGCTGAGGGGGCAGGGATGAGGAAGGAGGGGCAGCACCACAGAGGGATTCAGTGGGAAAATCCCACTGAAACAGCCACAGAAAACGCCAAGGGATAAGGAAAACCACAGACACACAGGGTATGAACTCGGGGCAGAACTGCCTAGTAAATCATTCAGCACCATTGTTTTCTGTAGCCTTTCTGAGGAAGCGTCAGCTGCTCTGGAAGAATGAATGGCAAAAAAATTTGATTTGAATAACTACAAATGGAGAAATTAACCGCCAGGTTCTTTTTCCTGCCTTTTCCCCAGAGCAAAGAACCTGCTGCGGGAGGCAGAGTGATGCAATCGCAGGCACAGCATCACTTCCCAGCTGCTGGGGAGATCTATTATGGCCTAAATTAAATAAAAACACAGATGAGATAATCTCTTTTTATCTCTGAAGGTGGGGGAACAACTAATTCATGCCTCATCTCAGCAGCTACTGCTGGGGTCTTTGAGGGAAAAATAAAAGCTGGGTGTCAGCTCAAGGCAGAGGCTCTGGGCAGGGAGCAGGACAGGTCCGGGGGGAAAGGAAACATACCATGAGCAGGGCAGGGAGAGTGAGGGGCTGCAACTGCACCAAAACACCGAGTCAGCCTTAAAGGCATGTCCATGGCTTTCCCATCTTGGCTTTTTTGGAGCCAGTCCTGGCACCTGGGCACAGCTTTGGCAGGAGCCAGGGCAGCCTTGTGCGCACCCACCGCACACTCTGGTAACGATGAGGCCAGTGGGTCACTCCTCCCCTTCTCTGACCATCTCGGACACCACTCAGGGTCCTGTGAGCTCGCTGGCAGGACGATGGCCACGGTGGGGAGCTGGAGGTCCCTGGAGTGGCAGGGGGCAGGGGGGGAGGGGAGCTGCCATTCCCTAGGAATGAGTTAATTAAGGAGGAGGAGGGTGGCAGGGAGCGGCAGAGCTCCCGTTAGGCTTGTCTCTTTAATTAATGCCTGGAACAAGTTTCCAGCAGGGAAAAGCAGACCAGACCTGGAGTGCTGGGGGAAGGGGAGTTAAAATGCCATCACTGTGTCAACGGGAGTTGCTATGATCTCCCTGCCTCCCCTTCCCATCTCTCCAGGGAATCCTCTGCATCTCTCCTCCGTGAAGGAGAGGGAAGAGGCTTATCTGGAAACTGCAAAAACGTAGGGAGGAGGGAGGTGGAAAACTCAGTAAAAGAAGGAAAAGGAAGGAGGGAAAAGAGGATAACTTGTGGGAACCACAGCCAAGGTCTCTGAATCATGAACCTACACAGTGGAAACACTTATGAGATGCTCCCACCCATGCCAGGGCATTCTGGATTCTTCCAGATCCACCTGACAGCAGGTGCAGGGCAGGCACAGGGAATGCTGGGCAGGACAAAACCTGTGATAGGTACATACCAAGGAGCTGGTGTAGGTGGGGTCAGACGTATCGTCCTGCAAGTAGCGTGAGAGGCCGAAGTCAGACACTTTGCACACCAGGTTGCTGTTGACCAGGATGTTCCTGGCAGCCAGATCTCGGTGGACATAATTCATCTCTGCAAGGTACTTCATCCCAGCAGCAATCCCTCTGAGCATTCCCACCAGCTGGATAACTGTGAATTGCCCATCGTTCTGCTGCAGTGGGAAAGAGCAGGAACTGGGGTGAGTGTGGGACCAGGGCAGCTCACCCCAACCTCAGGAGGATGCTGCACCTCCCCAGAGGACTATCCAGCTGCCCTGGCTGATTAAAACAGAGGTAACCTGCACCAAAACACACATTTTGGGGGGGGGGGTACGGCACACTGCAACCAGCTCCAAGCTAAGCAAACAGGCTGGGATACACCAACGGGATACCAACGTCTCACTTCTGAATACCTGATGAGATACCAATGTCTCACTCCTGAATCCCTGATGAGATACCAACGTCTCACTCCTGAATCCCACAGCTGAGCACCAGCCCACACGGCCCCACCCAGGCCTCACCCGCAGGAAGGAGTCCAAAGCCCCGTTCTCCATGAACTCCGTGATGATCATGACTGGTCTGCTCTTGGTCACCACCCCTTCCAGCCGAATGATGTTGGGGTGGTCGAACTGCCCCATGATGCTGGCCTCGCTCAGGAAATCCCGGCGCTGCTTCTCCGAGTAACCAGCTTTGAGCGTTTTGATGGCCACGTAGATCTCCCTCTTGCCCGGCAACTTCAGCCGTCCCTTGTACACCTCTCCAAACTCCCCTGCAAGTGCAACACAGAATCATTTAGCTTGGAGAAGACCTTGAAGATCATCGAGTCCAACCTGTGACAGATCACCATCTTGTCAACTAGGGCAGAGCACCTGCCACAAGACCATCCACTACCACCTCCTCTTCCACGTTAAACATTGCGAAGAGCACTGGTACTTTGGGCTGTTTGGTCTCCAAACCAACCAGCTGAAAAATGGCAGCTAGTTCACACTTCCACAACACTCTCCTCTACAAATCTGCTCACTTGTCCTCCTTCAAAGGGGCAATGCCTGCTGCTGGGCACGTGCTCAGGCGTGCAACCTTCTCCAAGCTGACAGAGCCCAACTCTGATGCAAGCGGAGGCTGCGGCTGCTCTTGACAACCTCCACCAGAAGGATTTGCAGAGGAAGTGCATCAAACATTTAAGGACTATCTCAAATATCAGATGTCAGCATTGATAATCTCAGCTGCCTTTTTGCACATCACTTATCTTTCGATAGAAAATAATTGGGTTGTTTTCACTGCTGCCCTCTGACTTGTAATACAGAGAAAGCATCCTCTCCTTTCCAGGGGGAGAGCATTCCCTTTGCCAAGGCAAAGCTTGCCTGTGGAGGGATTGCATTTAAGCCAGGTTTGCAGCCACTCGGCCTCAATGAGCAGCAAAGGGCAGCTGATACATCGCTGAACTCTATCATGACCGAACGAGCTCATTGCTTCTTCACAGCTTCCCCTCCCTGGCTTCTCACTTTCTCTTCTGAGAGTATGACACAGTTATTTAAAAATGGCAATAGAGACAGCACAGATGACACACACATCCGTGCACGTGTGTGCATACATACATATGTATGGGAATATGGCACAGACTAGAGCAAGATCTGTCTCTTCTTGTTATCTCATGGAAAAGCCAAGTGGGAAATCCCAAGAGGCCCCACAGTCACCCACCAAAGACATTCATGGAGCCTTTCCCATCTCAGAGGAACTTGGAGAGCATAAACCAACCTCATGTCCACCTTCACCCACCATAAACCCAGGAAAGCCTGATGTCTCACAGCTTCCTTCATGGCTTCCCAATGAAGGACCATGTGTGCTACCCCAGAAAATTGCTCTGAGTGGGTGCCTGACCACACAGGAGCACCCAAGAGGGCAGGGAGGGATGGGCAGCAGGAGATGGTGAGACCCACCTGCTCCAATGACTTCTTCAATCTTCACAAAGGACACATCGATCTCCTTGGCAAACTCTCGGACTGCCTCGTTGGGGTCCTCGTAGGTGAAGGGGTCGATGTAGATCTTCATCCCTGGAGACCCTTGTCATGGGAAAGGCAGGAACAACAGCAGAAAGGGAGAGAATTACCGAAGTATAGAATTAATAGAATGGTTTGGGTTGGAAGGAAATTAAAGCTCATCTAGTTCCAATCCCCTGCTATGGGTAGGGACACCTTCCACTAGACGAGGTTGCTCCAAGCCCTGTCCAACCTGGCCTTGGACACTGGCAGGGATGGGGCAGCCACAGCTTCTCTGGGCAGCCTGGGAAACTATGGGCAGTTGTGTCATGGCCAAGAACTGGAGACCCTCATGTCCTCACACTTCCTGTATGTCCCAAAAGGATGGTTGCTAATGCTGCACCACCTCCACAGACCCTTATCGTCCCCCCAGTCCTCCCACTGCACCCAACCCTCACCTGCACCCTCTCCTCTCCCTCTCTGTCCTCTGCTCCTCCACCACTATCCTTCCTCTTCGTCCTCACAGGCAATGGGAGCATACAGTCCTGAACTACAACCCACTGGCTTTATGGTCAGGCTTTATGAGGCTCCACACGTTAGTGAAGAAATATTTATTTACCCAAAAAGGCCTCTGATAGCTTTGTGGAGGCTACTAAATTGACAGAGTGCAGCAATTATAACCAACAACCCGGATGGAGCTGTGAAATGCAGCGTGGCCAGCCACCGTGACACGTGTGGCTCCCAGGGCAATGTGTGGCAGCAGGACCTGGCCACGCTGCAAGGACGTGCACCAAGTGGGGTCTTGCCCTTTTCAAACGAGGGAAACTCCAAAACAAGTCCCCAGAGTGCCCAGATGGGGTTTGCAGACAATGTGTTGGGATGCCTGGAGGGCTGCAGAGCTGCCAGGGGACACAGGCACAGAGCAGTGTGGTCACAGCCTCCCCAGGGCTCAGCGGGGCACGGGTGTTGCACCACTACCCAAGAGGGACCTAGAATGGGCTGTGGTGTCCTTCTGTGGGGGAGTTCAGCCTCCCATGCCACTTCTCACCCGAAACAGGGGAGTGTGGACGACATAGCAGCCCCTCAAGGTCATCTGTAGAGGAGACCAAGAGGACATCACCACCTGGTTCCCCTCCCCACAGCACCTTGGCCTTACAGTGATTAACAACAGAGCTTGATTATGCTGCTCAGGACCTTTCCAGGGGCCATGATCTTGTCACACTGGTCCTACTAGAGCAGACATACAGATGGATGCACGGACCACAGCATCACCCCTGTGCCAGGAATCTAAATCAGCTCCCAGCTGCAAAGTAATTTGGGAGGAGGCATGAAAGCCTCACAGTAGGCACTGCTGGTGCCAGAGAGCCACTGAGGGAGAGCTGCGTGGGGGGCACCAAGGACTGGGGAGGGACCAGGCAGGAGCATCCCCATCCCCGAAAGGGGTGTCTGGGGCAAAAGCTCTCCACCTCCGAGGCAGGGAAGGCTGCAATGAAGCCATCTGTGCATCTCCCAGTTCATAAATCCCTTTACAGCTCTGTCTCATACACTTTAACTGCCCCATAAATTTTTTTACAAGAGCAGCTGATGCTCCAGCCAGGATTACAAAGGGATTTACAGGATCATAATGGAGACTGACTCACTGATGAAAATATTGAAAAAGCAGAGGAGAAAACAAGGCCAAAGTTTCCTGCCCACTGTCAACACAGGCTGGTTCCGAGCTCTGATGTGTCTTGGGTCCTGCCTGTAGGCTCATTAAACGCCAGGTTCAGCTCCTCCCTCATCCCCATCCCATCCAAATAAATGGGATAAGGGCACCTAAACCCTCTACTCCTCTCTGCAAACCTTACCCACCAGTTCATCATTGCCACACTGGCAAAATCTGGTCCCTGGAGCACACCACCTGTGGTGAGCCTGTCTGCGAAGAGCACTGTGCTCTTAAAACCATCACAACACTCCTAAAAACTGGATTAGGTCATTTATCATGACTACAGATGACGGCAAATATTTAATCACTCTCTTCAAAAGCTGAAGTGCTCTGCACCACGACCCTGACTCCAGCGTCCAACCCCTTCCCACATCGTTTTGCCTTGGGAATAAATAAGGGGACAGAGTAAAACTCCTCCGGCGGAATTGCTGGCGCTTCAACAGGATGTATTCCCTATTTCCCCAATCTCAAAGCTCCCATGAAGGAGTAGCAGGGATAAACCATGGAAAATTACAGCCTGAGAGAGCCCACCTCACCCCAAACCCTCTCGGCGCAGTCCTCGTCAGCAGCAGGCAACCCCGGGGAGCTGCTGGAGGGATCTGTGCTGTGCTGGGAGGCTGTAATTGCTGTGCCACTAAACAAATGGTGATTTGTTCCAGAGGATGCTCTGGTTCCTCCATTAGCTGCTCACCACAAATTTCCCACCTGTTTCGCTCCAGCGTCGGCACTAACGGAGTGCCCAGAGGCTCACTAACCTTGACAGGGTTTTGCTGTTCCCAGACAGCCCCAGATTTTGGCCACCAAGCCTCACCTCACCCAGCTTTAAAAGCCAAAGACAGGCACGTGCTTCATTGCTTCCCCACCTGGTTTGAGCACCCTGGGATTTGGGGTGCTAGGGACATACACAGGGTAGGGAATGATTCAAAACAGGAAAATGGGAAAAATCAGTCTACCTGCAGCCTGACAAGGGCTTAGCCATCAGGCAGCAAATAAATCTTCCCCTGCCCCCTGCAGTGCAGAGCCATGGAGAAAAGAGGGAGGGAAAGCAGAGGTCCATTCTATTTCAGGATCACCTGGTGATGTTGGGAAAACAGTTCACTGCTTCCCGGGAGGTTTACAGCCCCCTACAGTGCTGCCATCACGTTGGGATGAAGCCAAGGTCAAAAGGGATCCCGCATGCCTTGTTGGCCTAGCTGGGCTCTTCTGCCTGTCTCCAATCCCTCTCCAGCCCTCTCATCCCTCCCGTAGTTCTCTGCCAGGCTGAACACTCCACATCCATCCCTCCCCTGCTCTCTGCCTTCCCCTGCCATCCTTCCCCCATCCCTGAATCCCACACCTCTTTGCCCAAGCAGGTGCCAAGGACTCAGGGATGGTTTCTTCCCTCAAGGCAGCAAATTGCACCTGGGAGGCATCTCTAGGAGAGCATAAATGGGATTTACATCCTGCAGGGATGGGGCACCAGGTGGCAAATCCTCCCCCTCGAGGCTGATGCTTTGCTGCCTTATTCCCATTCCCAGTGCTGGCTGCTGCAGGGACACCTGAGCAGACATCACACACACATACACCTCAAATTTATTCTGGTGCACAGCTCCACCAGCCACACAGCTCTCTTAGGAAAAGATCCTTCAAGCTCAGGCTCTCCTAATTGTTTGCCAAGGAGATCAGCAGCCCAGAGCCAGTGAAACATTCCCAGACACTATATCTGACCGACCTCCAGTTCCATACTCATCCTCTAAATCCCTCCTATTACTCTTCTCTTCCCACCCGCAGTGCTGCACTACTGTAACCACCCCAAGACAGCTTGACACACACTTGTGGACATCTCTACTCCCACCCTATGGTCCTCTGCACCTGCCCCAAGAGGCTTCCATCTTGTGTGCCCCTTGGAGGGCAGAGGAGTGGGACACACACTGAGTGCCAGTTTAGGAACATCTCCTGTCTTTGCTTTTCCCACTTTTCCCTGCTCACCTCGTCCAGTGCTGTAGTGCTGTAGTTTATCACTGTACACTGCTTCCTTGCTGTAGGCACGTTTCCTGAGGGAAGAGGGAAGGAAACAGCCAACCTCAGAGATCAGCAGGTGATGGCCTCACACTGCCCAACACTCCATGAGCAGTGGCATCTTGGTGCTTTCTCCAGCTGCAAGGGTCCCCCATCCCTCCTCTCCTACCCCAAATCTACATCTCACCACCTTCCAGGGACAGAGAATTCCATGGGGACTCACCTGCTGCACACGATGGAAATGGCCACCAGCGAGACAATGAAGACCACCCCAGCTGCTGCAGACCCTGCAATCAAAGGCAGCTGCTCTCTCAGCTCCGACTTGTAGTCATCTGCAAGAGAGGAGGGATGGGCTGAATTCTCCTTTGTACACTCAGGAGGTAAGAGCAGTTAATGCCCACTCTGATTCCATGGGTGCTGCTCCCGTGGGAGGGTGGTGGGACAAGGGGGATGCAAGTGGGACCATCAGGAGAGGCAGGTGATGAGCTGGTGCTGCGTTGCACAGGGCAGGATTGGCACACTCAGGTCATACAGACTTAAAAGTACAGAAGGGAAGGTCCTGAGAATGAAACCAAACCAATGTGCCCAGTTTTCTGAAGAGATGAGGTTCACAAGGTGGTTTGTCCATGCCTCTGGGGTTTCTCTTCCCTCAACACATTTATTTATTGAGCACCCTGGGCTAGTGGAAGGTGTCCCTGCCCAGCACAGGGGGTTGGAACAGAATGATCTTTAAGGTCCCTTCCAACCCAAACCATTCCAGGGTTCTATGATTCTATGATTTAAAACCTGTTGGCCATTTTGACCAATTTTAGCATGAGGAATCACAGCCACAAAATTCCTACTATTTGTAGGAAAGGACGAAAAGAAAAGATCATATTACTAACTAAAGCAGCTGGGAAAGGCTGTGCTGAGAGTCCCCCATGTGCTTTTCCTGCCCTGGCAGTGGTGTGGGTGCCTGGAGTGGGCATCAGATCCCATACTCCTGGGGGTTCTGCAGCCTTCCAGAGACATCTCCTCTCCCACAGCCCCAGCGAGGCCTGCCAGGCTGTATCAGCAGCCACACACAAGGGTTAAAATATATCTCACTCCAAATTAAAAAAAAAAGCATTTAGCAGCCTTTTATCTGTATTTTTCTACTCTGCAGTTAATTACTGGCAACCAGATTTATCTCTTGCATGCTGCTTAAATCCGGAGAAATTCTCATCTAACAATCAATTATTATTTAATAATCTGCACTATCCATTCTTATTAAATTTCAATTAATTGCTTATTTCAGGCAGGATTTTTCTCCTCGCTTCTCTAATCCTGAATATTCGAGGCACTGGGGGGGGTTATTACCATTTCCTTCCCTTTGGTCACCCCGCATGGTTTCCCTCTTCCCACTCTGCCTGGCACTTGACATGAATGCAAGCATGGGGTGACCATGTTTCAGGAAAGTTTTAGGAAAGAAAAAGAGGTTTAGGAAAGAGGAAAAGATTTAGGAAATTAGAAAAGTTTTAGGAAAGGCAACCCTCAGGGGTGGGACCCATGGGCAGAGCAGGAACCACACACCAGCAGTGGCAGGGAAGGAGCTCTCTGCAGGGACTTCAGCTCCTCCAGGGGTAGGAGGACTATGAAAGGAGCTTTGCTTCACTCACCAACTTCTGGATTAGTCCTGAAGCTGGGATTAATGGAAAACCCTCCCATAGGTTATTAGTCTCTAAAGGAATCAAGTGTTTGTGGGTGCAGAGTGGGGACAGAAGAAGGACAGCACCACTCTGCAAGGAGGCCAGAAGAAGACATGAAGGTCATGAACTGGCCCAACACACCACCTTGGGGTGGGAAATCAGCTTTTCAGTGATGGGCCTGATGGCTCAGATGTGGCTCTGAGTATCTGAGATTTTTTTTTAGAGAGAGAGTGATCAGACATTGGAATGGGCTGCCTGAGGACGTGGTGGATTCACCATCCCTGGAGGTTTTCTAGATGAGACTGGATGTGGCACTTAGTGCCATGGTCTAGTAACCACCGTAGGGCTGGACTCGGTGATCTTTGAGGTCTCTTCCAACCAGGTTGATTCTATGATTCTATGATCCCAGACTCCTTCCTCCAAGGGTCTACCCTCCTCTCCACTGACCCTTCCAGCTTTGCCCCGATGGCTCAGATGTGGCTCTGAGCATCCTAGACTCCTTCCTCCACGGGTCCACTCTCCTCTCCCCTGACCCTGCCTGGGCAGACTCTGATGGCAGGGGGCTCTATCACCACAGCTGGAGGCAGCAAAGACAGAACTGCAGCACAATAGTGGGAGAAAACACTGAGCTGGGAAATTGAAAGCAGATCACTCCTCCAGCTGGCGACTAATAAGACACCGCTGTAAATCACCTGCCTGCTGCCATGCTGCCTGCTGGGAGAGAGGTTTGCAGAGACAAGTTCCTTTAATCCAATTAGAGCAAGAAGCTGTTGCTGGAAAGACAAGCATCCTTTCACCTCCCTGCCCCCCTCCCAGACTCACCATCAGTCAGCGTCTGGAAGCACATCTTGCCGCTGTACTTGCCGTAGCCAGCCACGGTGCGAGCTCGCACCTGCACCACGTACACCATGCCCGGCCTCAGCCCCTCGATCCTGGCCGTGTTGGTCTGGCTGCGAGCCATGGAGGAGTTGTACTCGTTGTGGTCCTGTGGCCAAGAGAGACAGTGGAAGCTGAGGGGCCAAGGGACAGCATGGGGCACGGCGTACACTGCGGCACACCCGTCCCTGCTGTAGCACAGGTCCTGGTTCTGCTTCGGGAGCATCCCTGGCATGGAGGATCCCACAGGAAGGGCTGAGAGAACTGGAGTTGTTCAGTCTGGAGAAGAGAACTAACTGCAGCCTTCCAGTACCTGAAGGATAGATGGAGGTTTTTAAGACAAGACTGAATGTGGCACTTAGTATCATGGCCTGGTAATGACAATAGGGTTGGACTCAATGATCTTTGAGGTCTCTTCCAACCAGGTTGATTCTATGATTCTATGGGGAGAGACTATTTACAAGAGCCTTGAGTGACAGGACACAGGGAATGGCTTCCCACTCACAGTCAGCAGGGTTAGATTGGATATCAGGAAGAAATTCTTCCCTGGGAGGGTGATGAGGCACTGGCATAGGTTGCCCAGAGAAGCTGTGGCTGTCCCATCCCTGGGAGTGTTCCAGGCCAGGTTGGATGGGCTTGGAGCAACCTGGGCTGGTGGAAGTTGTCCCTACCTGTGGAGGTTGCAATTGGAGGATCTCTAAGGTCCTTCCAACCCAAACCATTCTGTGATTCCATGAAACACTGTAACATGCCCTACAAGTCCCTGCTCAAGCAGGTTCAAGGAGAACTTGCATCTGCTGAGAGCACCAACCCCCACGGTCTCTGCTCTGCTGGCACAGGTCCTTGCGCTAAACCTTGCTGGAAACCTTCTGCGTCTCCAATCTCATTTTTTGCCCAGTTCCCTGGTGATTTGCTGGTAAGAGGCCACTGGTGAGATCATCTAATTATTCACATTTAGAGGAATTCATTAGAGCTGGCAAGACACAGGAGGGCTGGAACAGCTTGGGCTCGGCACGGTTCACTGCAAGGGTTGAGAGCGTGTCTCCTGCGGGGAGGGACAGCTGCCAGAGAGGACCTGGTGAGAGGCAGTGACCCGGGACAGGGACAACCCTGGTAACCTTCGCCTGTCCTAGCCATCCTGACACTGTCCCCATGCTCCACGTCCCTGCTCATCCCAGCAAACACCAGAGCACAGGCAGCCACAGGCAGCCACAGGCACCGATGTCCCAGAAAAGTGCTGCCACGTGGGAGGAATTAGTGATCACAGCCCAAGACTGCTCTCTTTCCTCTGGCTGCACATCGCTCCCACCTCCTGGAGCCAGCTCAGGTGACCTCGTGCCTGTCCCACCATGTGTCCCACCTCCTGTCCCACCACACAGATGAGAGAATCAGAGAATTTTAGGGGTTGAAACGGACCTTAGAGATCATCCAGCCCACCCCCTGCCCTAGGCAGGGACATCTCCCACCAGAGCAGGTTGCTCAAGGCTCATCCCACCTGGGACAGTGTCTCACCACACGCACAGGGAAAAATTCTGCATAAGATCTATCCTAAATTTTCCCTCCTTCAATTTGTATCCATTACCCCTTGTCCTGTCACTGCAGCTCCTAACACAGATCCCTCTGCAGCTTCCCTGGAGCCCCTTCAGCTCCTGGCAGGCTGCTCTGAGGTCTCCACACAACCTTCTCTTCTCCAGGCTGAACAGCCCCAACTCCCTCAGCCTGTCCTCACAGGGGAGATGCTCCAATCCACTTAGCAACTTCGTGGCCCTCCTAAAGGGCTGGGAAGGATCCTAAAGATCTTTCCCAGCAAAAAGCCAACCTCAGCTGCAGGGTACAAAGCCCCACGTGCTCCCAACCCACCCTGCATGGCAGGGTTTCCACCTGAGCTTACCGGTGCTGGCCTGGAGCCCACAGTGCTGCTGACGTCGGGAGTGCAGATGCGGCTCACCTTCTCGTAGTATCGGATCTCATAGTCCAGGATAATCCCATTGGGCTGCTCGGGCTGAGGCCAGGACAGTGTGATGCTCCTCATTGTGGCACTCACCTGGTGCATGATGGGCACGGTGGAGGGTGCTGCCAAGGAAGCAAGGAGAGAGGGAAAAATTAATGGAGAGGGGTATGAAAAATGGCCCTGAAGAGGGAGAAAATCTCCTGAGCACACAGAGCATCCCAAATCTCCCATGCCTGCAGTTGTCCAACCCATGGGACAAGCTCACTCATCAGCAGTGGGAAGAGCAGCATCTCAGCAACTTACATGGAAGCAGAGCAATAAGCCAGAGAGGGAATTCTGGTATTTAAACCAGCTACTCTTTTCAATTACGGGCTTAGAAATCTTTGGTGTTCCTTCTCCCCAGGACTGCTGACCCCAGGGATGTCTCCCATAGCGGGACAGAGCAGCAAAGCTCTCCCCAGTGGCAACAAACCAAGGCTTGGTGACAGTCTCCAGCTCTGCTTGATATCTCTTGCTGTAACAGCCTCTCTGGGGAGCCAGCACCCAGGGAGCCTGTGCCACAGCTGCCACTCCACATGCTGTCAGCATGAGCATGCAGGACCAAAAATCTGCCCACCCTGAGAACCACAACAGGAAACCAGGGCAGGGACACCCCAGCCCAGGCAAGGGTGCTGGAGCATGGAGCACAGCTTTGGCTCTAGAGGAGCTGCTGGGGTTGCTTTTAGGGGCTCTCAGGAGATGCTCATCCACACTCCCCAAAAATGCTTCTCCCAGGAGTTTATTTCCAAAACTCAAACTCTTGCCAAACAGTCTCAAACCACCCCTCAGCTCCTTGCCCAGCTCAGGACCATGGCACAAGGGTGCTCCAAAGGCAGCACCTCCAACCCTGCAGCCCCCAAGACCCCCCAGGCAGCACACCACAGGGGTCCTGGGCATCTTGGCACAGGACCTCTGGAGAAAGCAAGGTCCTCAGCACCGGCCAAGCACACAGTCGGCATCGGGTCTAACCCTTTTTCCCCTCTGCCATGCATTTCTAATCAGTCCCACCAGCTATGCCACACCACATTGCTCCACAAAGCAACCCATCACACTTCAGTTCACTCACCACACCAGAGCTAAGCGAGCAGGTTTCCCAAAACAGCTGTCAGGCACATTGTCCCCACTGCTGCTGCTCCTTGCCCTGCTCTCCACGTGTACTCAAGCAATCCTGGGCTGTTCTCCACTTGCCATGGAGCTGAGCATCACCAGAGCCCAGCACTTCCAGAGTGAAGCATCCGTGGAGCCAAGCACACCCAGAGCCAGGTATCCCTGGAGCTGAGGACTCCCAGAGTGAATCATGCTTAGAGCTGAGCATCCCTGGCAGCAGCAACACTGCCCTTCCACCATTAAGGACACTGAGACACTAAACTAGTCAGGAGTCACTTTTCCAAAGGCTCTGTGCCCTCCAAGTTATACTTGAAAGGGCCAAAGCCAGCCAATACAGCCCTCATCCTTCACTTAATCCCACCAAAAGCTCTTAAGAAAGGTATCCAAGTCTGTCCACAACCAAAGAGGCACTGGTGTGTCCTGTTTGCGGTCAGCTTCCTATCCAGCCCTCTCTGCTCTCCTCCTCCTCACCATGCCCAGAGTACAGGCAGGGAAAATGCCTCCCTGGTGTGGGTGCAGGGGAGAGCTGAGCCTGGCATGATTCCAGCCTGGAACATGGGATCATGCCAAGGAGAGAATCTGGGGGTGGCAGGAACCTTGTTCCATGTGGCCCTAATGGGAGATGTCAACAGTTAGGTACCACCTTTGTTTACCCAGAATAGTTAATCTCGTATTATTCCTTTTTAATCTCTCCTTATCTGCTCCAGGAAGATGTTCATGGGCTGAAATTAAGCACTCAGCTTGATTGCTCTTTTGTTAATTCCTGTTAGCATGGATGGGGCTGGGGAAATGGATGGAAAAACCTGCTGCAAAGCAAAAGGAAGTTCAGAGGAAGAGCACTGATCCTGCCCTGGATATTCCTGATGCATTTCCATCAGGTTATGCCCCAGCCCAGCATTCCCATGTCAATACTCAGCCTTTGCAAGACATTCAGGGATTTCTGGGGTACAGACAGGTGGATGTGGGTAACCTGTCTGTTCCCTGCTGCCAGGCCATCCTGGGGTGGGAGATGAGCAAAGAAAAAGCCCAAAAATCCCACCTCAGAAAAAAAAAGCCTGGAAACAAAAGGCAGGTTTGACTGCTCGTAGTTCAGCAGACAGCAATGCCAGCCAGGCACGAGTGCAGATCTGTATTCCCTGGAGCCAGGAGACTGAAATATTGACACCAGGTTTCTCTGTTGTGCTCTTCTGAGGGGGAGGGATGGTGAAGGCTGCCTGTACTACACACAAAGCAGGAATTATCATCCCTTTTCCCTGCCCAGAGCAGATGGGTTTCCATCCCCTCCTCTCCCTGTGCTCCTCACTGCAGCCCAGAACCAGTTCCCCCCTTGCCATCTGCACACCAACCCCACCAGCATCCTGGGTTGGCCCAGAGCTGCTCATTCAGCTCCTGGTGCCTGATTGGGAATGGGGAGGTAAAGGGGCAGAGGAGGCTGGAAAGGGAGACAAGAGGAAAATGATGGGATAGGGATGTGCCAGAGGAAACAGAACCTGAACTCAGTCCCAGGAGGCTGTTCCCTCTGTGCTGTAACACAGCCAGGCTGCGTTTCAAGGCCGGATTCACCCCATCTCCCAGCTCTCACCTGGGAAAAGGGGGAAATGGTGATGCCATTTCATCCCCAAGCAATCTAGAGGGGGATACAAAGGAGACTCTAGATATCCCTCCCACCAGTCAGCTCTCACCCTGACCAAGCTGCAGGCACTCTCCCCACCTCCCCATCCCTCTTCCTCCCTCTTTTCCTGGCCTTTCTGCTCACCCAGCACTGAGGCAGGTTTACCACAGCCATCACACACCATTCACGCTCCAGAAGCTTTTCGCTTCAGACGTGGAGCTTCATTCCACACAGAACCTGCAACTGGTGGTGGTTACAGCTAAACCCTCTGGGCACCACCTCACTCCAGGACTCACCAGCCTGGTTGGTGGTGATGTTGACGGAGACGTGCTGCTGTGGGAAGGGACTCTTGTTGGAAACCCCATTGACAGCCTGGATCTCGAAGGTGTAGGGCGTGTGTGCCCACAGGTTGCTGATGAAGACCCTGGTCTCGGTCAGCCCCAGCTGCCTGGGGACAAAGTCCACGTTGTCATCGCAGCGGGAGCAGGCGCGGCGGTCCGAGCGGCACTTCTTGCAGACGATGTTGTAGGTGACGTCGTCCCGACCCCCTGTCTCTCGTGGTGGGTGCCACTCCAGGATGATGGATGTCTCGTTGACAATGGAGATGACATTGCGTGGCCCGGACGGGACACCTGTGGAAAAGAAAAGCACTTGAGACAGATCTTTGGCCAAAACATCACGCTTAGCCCTGTTGAGATCTGTGGGTACCAGCACCAAGAAGGACAGACACCCCATGGCTCTGTCTGTCACCACACATCTCCTCCCGCCTCATGAGGGATTTGGTGTCTGTGGCTTTGCTCCATTCAGGGTCAGACTCTTCCCACTAGCAACACCAATCGCCTGCACCACCAGCCACAGAGAGAGGCTGCCCAGTTGGAGATGAGGCACAAACCCACTTAAGTCTCCAAAAAAAAACCCCATGTGGAACACATGCAGATCCATCTGTGAAGATCACAGAATTGCAGAATCAACCAGGTTGGAAAAGACCTCCAGGATCATCAAGTCCAACCCTACCGTGGTTACTAGACCATGGCACTAAGTGCCACATCCAGTCTCAGCTTGAAAACTTCCAGGGATGGTGAATCCACCACCTCCCCGGGCAGCACATTCCAATGCCTGATCACTCTCTCTGTAAAAAATCTCTTCCTAATATCCAACCTAACCCTCCCCTGGCAGAGCTTGAGTCTGTGCCCTCTTGTCCTGCTGCTGGTTGCCTGGGAGAAGAGACCAACCCCCACCTGACTCCAGCCTCCTGTCAGGGAGTTGTAGAGGACGACAAGGTCTCCCCTGAGTCTCCTCTTCTCCAGGCTAAACCACCCCATGAAGATGAAGCCAGTTGAATCCCATCGGGAGATGCTGCGATAGCTCCAGTGCTCCCACAGAGAAGCACCTCAAACAGATTATCCCAGCAAGAGAAACAGCACTTAGCCAGTGCCGCGGAGAACCGGAGCAGCAGGAGAAAAAGAGAGTCAGAAATGGGAAGTGGTTATTAAGGGTTCAATATCTCGAGGTGGGAGCCAAGGTATTTAACAGCACGGAGGAGAACCAGCACTGCTCGCTGGTTTGCAACCGGCTCGGATGCTGGACAAGAGATGAAAATTGCATTGATCACACTCGCCAGGAGCCATCACAAAGGCTTCGGAGCACGGGAATTGAACACAGCTCCAACTGCAGGCACTGCCGGATCGGGGCTGCAGTCCACAGGGAGAGAGATTCAGGAGGAATCCAGGCAGGAGAGCATCACCAAGGCACAAACGGACATCTGCACAGGTCCAGGGAAGGATTTGGGGTCAGCCAGGAAGGCTCTGCAGCCAAAACCACAAAACCCTGCTGCTGGGTCATGCTAAGTAAGGAAAGCAATGAACTCCTCATGCTGGCTGGGCTCCGGGCTGCACTTCCATGGAAGAAAAAGGACTTTGTCACGATATGGGAAGCAATAAAAATGATGGAGGACTTGACCTGCAAGGAAAGGTTAAGAGAGCAAAGCACTGTGTGTCCTGGGGAAAGCCATCCCAGGGGAGCTCTCCACGTGTGTGAGCTGGGGAACAGCCCCACTGTGGGACTCCCCCGTTGTGGAGATGTCCAAGAGGGTTACAAGAGGGTGGTAGAGGACATGGCAGTGGCAGAAGCAAGGAAAAAGATCCTGATTCCCAAGGGGAACAAGACTGGATCAACAATAGTGAGTTACCCCCCAAAATCTGGAACCCATCTCAGGAAGCTTAATTCAAACCCTCTCCTCATACCTTAAGCAAACAATATCTTTCCAAGGAAAAGGCAACAAATCATATCTCTTCCCTGTCCCCGTGGTGAACTGTTGCCTCCCTAAACTCCTCCCCCTGGACATGCAGCCCCTTCCCTCCTCTGCAGGGGCACAAACAGCATGCTCACTGCTCTGGTCCAGGGCAGTGCCTGCAGCTCTACACTGTGATTTACTCCTCTGACACAGAAACTCCCTGCCTGAACAGCTGGAACTTCAAATGAGAACACTGTAAAATTAAGCGTCGACGAGAAGAAATAAAAACCAGCAAAGAGAGATCTTTTTCCTGTATTCCTATGGCACAGCACTGCTGTAAATCAGTTATGTAATAAGGCATAATACAGACCTGTGAATTATCTGCATTTGTGTGACCTGCAGACTGTCTGTCTGACAGCTCAGGTGAGCCAACAAAACACACAAACCCTTTTACTTGCCATGTGCCCTTCCCCAGCACCAAAGGGTCTGGAGCATCCCTGTGCTAAAGCTCCCTGCTGGGCTGAGTCAAGGACCTGGAGTGAATCTGCGCAGGAGCTGAGGCTGAGAGTCCCATTCCCACTGGGCTGAAGAGCACAGCAGCTCTATCCTCTCTCCTGGACTCTTTTTCCCACCAGGCTGGAGGACACTGCTGCCACACTGGGCAGAGAGCTGAGCAGTGACGTGTCGTTGAATACCAATGCCGAACGCACCCTTTCCCCCTATTAAAAAATACTCCATCTGCAAAGCTATGAACACGACAGCCAGAGCAGATAAATTTAAATTCTAATTTATCCTGGGGACTATCTCCCTGCCATCACCACCGCTGCCAGGGCGATGTATACATTCCAGCAGCTGCCAGCGAGGCAGATGCGAGGCCGTCCCATCGCTCAGCGGTGGGTGCCAGGTGCTCCCATCCACAGAAGGACACGGGGAGAAAACAAGGCAAAAAATCATGGATTGTGACGTTATCCCTGCTGCTGGGAGGGGAGCGAGACCATGCAGCCCTCCCACCACTCCTGATTTGGTACTCACTGGTGCAAGCAGCTGCTGGTGGGTCGAAATCCGCTCGGTAGTAGCCGTGGCGGCAGGCGCAGATTGGAGAGGCCTCAGCAGTGGAGCGGCTGTTGGGGGGACACGGCAGGCAGACCCCTGCACCCTGGCTGGCCTTGAACGTCCCTGCTGGGCAGGCTGCAGGGGAGATCAGAGGAAAGTGGTTGAGGGCAAAACCATCCTGAGGTGGAGGGGAAAGCAGGTCCTGTCTTTGGAATGGGGTGGGGAGGAAAGAAGGGAGAGAAGGGAGAAGGGAGGAGAAAAGAGAAGAAAGAAGGGCAGAGAGAAGGGAGAAGAAAGAAGAGGGGAAAGAAAACAGAAGGGAGAAGGGAAAAGAAAGAAGAAAGAAGGGTGGAAAGAAAAGAGAACTGAAATGGAGGAGAAGAGCGAAGAAAGAAGAGAGAAAAGAGCAATGGGAGAAGAAAGCACATGGCAACAACGGTAACTATCCAGGCAGAGCAAGGAGGCAGCAGAGCAGCTTCACTCCCCAACAGGCAGGGGAACAGTGGGGGCTGCAGGACCCCCTTCCCTGGCAGCATCCATGAGGACACACAGAGGCAGGACAGTGTTCCTTGAGGACCTCTGGATCCAAAAGGACTCTTTATGCCACCCCAATGGCTCAGGTCTCACATCTCTTTTTCCACGCAAAATCAGAACATGTAATTCAAAAGTTGACGTGTCACCCATGACAATGTGTCATGAGTCCATCCCGTTAATCCAACAGAGCCTGGGGCTGGAGCTTCCCAGGCTCCAAGCTCATTCACGCAGGAAATGGCAACTAATTGACAAAGGAGAAGATGCTCCAGTTACAGTGAGGGTTTAATCAGCGACGGAGGGAGGTTTCATTAATCAACCATCGCGCTGCCCTGCAGTTAGAGGGTGAAGACAGAGTGACAAAGACAAGGTCTCTCATCTCTGCCCCACCCCACCAGTCCTCACCACCAGGCAGTGATGAATGGATGCTCATCCATCCCTGACATCTAACAAAACCCAATGAAACCAAAGGCTACAGAAGACAATGTCTGTATTTTGGCACATGTACCCAAGGGATCAGACTTGCATCCAGGTCCACCAGCTGTCTGGGCTGAGACTGCTCCTGGCCTCGCACCCAGAGTGGTCCCACCTCTGCTGGCTCCCAGCTCTGTGCCCGTGATGCTGTCACCCCACGGCACAGCTCTGCAGACAAACACCCTACGTGTCTCATAAACATGGTGATGATTGAGATAATGGAAAGTGCCTCTTAGCCCCTGTCTGCTGCATCAGGATATGAGGCATCTCCTAGCAGCCATGAAGAGGAAATTAATAGGAGCAAGCAGGAGTAACCACTTTGATGCAATTTCCTTGGGAGATAGTGGACCATCTAATCTTTATTGGAGCCCTTTAACCTGTCATTCAAAACTCATGAAGGCCTCCTGCTCACACAGCCTTTCCAGATATTAATAGATGATAAGAAAGAATAAATCAAAACAATATTTTACAATTTTATTATTCAGGAGATTTTTCCCCCCCTGCCTGGAGCCATCTCTTTCCAATGGCACTAACAGCTGAGTGAGGATGTGGCATCCCAGAGGGACCAGACACCATTTCCCACTGTCCTTCCCCTTCCCCAGCACAGGTGGTAGAGGGGAAAGCAGGTCCTGTCTCTGGGATGAGACGGAGAGGAAAGAAGGGAGAGGAGAAGGGAGAAGAGAGAGAAGAGAGAGTGTCCTACCACAGTCATCCCACACATATGGGGTCTTCGGGAAGCATTTTGGGCCATAACCCACCACCTTGTGCAGGTAGGCAGTGAGACACACGGGGTCACCATGCAGTGCAGGACACAGGAGGGCTTCAGGGAGACCTTCAGGATGCCAGAGCAGAAGGCAGCAGGATGCAGACCCTTCCCTGAGCCACACACACAGCCCAATGTCCCATAACAGCACGAGGAAGCACAAGAGTTATACCAGAGACACAAAGCAAGAAGACACAGCCATGTCTTCTACTACCAAGGCTTCCACACCATGTCCCAGCAGCCTCGTGCTCCTACCAGCAAGTGTAAGCATCCATGAGATGTACAACAGGGGACTGGTGGGCTCTAGAGATGTCAGAAATGTGCCTGATACGTGCCAGGCTCTTCAGAGGAGCAGGAAGGGGAGGGCATCAGTACCAGGGAGCCTGTGTTTTGATGGAAGAGGACGGGAGAGGGAGGGAGGGAGGAAGACGAGAGGGTTGCAGTGCAATGAACACACCTCAGTTTTAAGCTTATGGGCATGCTGGTTGAAGGAGTTTGTTAATTTTTAATCACAATTAATTCAAGTGATGCTTTGTCAAAATACCTGAACACAGCACACTGCAGCCCAGTGTCCGCAGGTTTCTGCTACCGCTTCGCTTCGCCACAAATTCCTGTAATCTGCAGGCACGTGGCTCTTAATTGCTATTATTACCAATTAGCTTTGCTCTCCTGTAATTACACTGTGCTTTCCTAAAGCCTCCCACAGTTTCAGGGGAGGCTGATGCCTTCCCCTCCTCCCAAAGCAGCCGCGGGCTGCAGCCTCCCACTCTTGGTGCTGCCTGTGTGTCCCTTCTTTCTGGGGTGGCTGAACCACGAACCTCACACCGAAAACAAAGCAGAAACTCCCAAGTCCCTGCAATGCCAGGGTGGGATCCATAATCCCTCAGATGGCAAACTTGCAGTCACCAAGACTCAGGTGGAGGGCTTGAGCCCAGGAGGGAGCACTGAATTACCCCACTAACAGCCAGTGCAATGTTTGTCCTAATTTCAGCGCTGGTCCAAGAGTTTCCCACCATGTCTGGATATGCAATAGTGCCTTGGACAAGCATGGGATAAGGCTCTGCCTCAGCTTTCCCTGTGGAAAGGGGCTCCTTCTGCCCATGCCCAGGCTGCTGCACAACCTGCATCTCTTCAGCCCGGAGGAGAATTAATTGATTGTTGATTATGTGGGCTGCAGAAGATTAATGATGTGCTTAACTATCCATTTCCTTGCGTTTAAGCACCAGGAGTGTGTTTGTAAATGATGAGGCACAGAACTCTGCCGTGCTGCTCAGCAGGGCTGGATGCTTGGCACTTAACCCCCCCCAGAACCCAAAGCTGCCTGTGGATCTGTCATCCTGCCTGTACCTCGGGGATGCTGTGCATCCCAGGGGGGTTTGCCAGCAGGACCTCTTTTCCAGGGCTGAGATGTTTGGGGGTGGGAGGGAGCATCACTGTGCGGCTGGTGAAACTCATCTTGCAGCAAGATGTCATTGCTGGAAATTTAGGCAGGGGGAAAAACAGATGCAAGTTGCCCTTGTGCCCAAGAGGTGATGGTAGAATTCTAGCCACAGCGCTGGATGCAGCCAGGGCTGTACCCCTCTTACCCCCACTCAAGGCTTGAAGTAAGGATGTGGACATGTCCCACGCATGGCAAACACCCAGGGACAGCACCACAAAGCTGTTGTCCCCATCACCACCTCCTTCCACGCTCCACAGCTTGTACAGGGTGGGATGGATTATGGAAGCAGTCATGGCACACAGCAGCATTGTGCAGTTTTTTCTACTTAAAGCTCTCCTGCCTCCACAGTGTGTATCCTGCATGCTTCTATTCCAGGTGTCAGGGGTCCTAGAAAGAGCTGGAGATAAGCAGGATCTCTGCTCATCCATGCCTGCTGCTGCCTGAGGCAAGGCACCGTCACAGCGAGGGTGCAAGAGTGGGGGTATCCAAGCGTTTCATTCCTCAGACTAAATCCTCTCAGTTAGCACCTGGAACTTGCACTTTTTAATTACTCTCTCAGGGAAGCTTTAGTCAGAAGAGAGAAGAAAAGAAGAAAGGAAGAAAGAAAGGAGACATCGCCTCTATATTAACTTGCTCTAAAGCTCCCTGGGGATGCAGAGTGGCATTTTTCCATGTTTTAAAACAGGAGCTCCTGGGAAGAATGACAGATTCAGCAGCAATTCAGCCAGTTCACCTCCTGCCCCAAGCCTCACCAGCCCCCACCGGGCTCCCTGCACTCACAGCAAACCCAGTCAGCAACACCTCAGCCTTCCCAGTCCCTGCTGGGGCACAGCTCACCCCGTTTGCCAAGTGTTCCCAAATTCATGCTTGGGTTAGCTCCCCTTGTGGGCACACACAGTGCCTGTGAGCACACCGTGGCATGCTGGCACAGCGGGGGACAAAAAAGGGGCAGAAGCATCAGTGCTGCACAAGGTGATGCTCTCAGGCAAGCTGGAGGAGCAGAGAACACTGCCACATGCAACGGCACTCAACAGCCTGGATGATCCAACCGTGCTCCAAACAGAGGTGTGCTGGCACCTACCACCACCCTGGGAGATGGGCAGCAGGGTTTGAGGACACCACAGGCCATGAACAAAGGAGCTTCTTGCATTTACAGCTGCAAAAGGACTCAAGGCCATTTTCTCCCTTTCTGCAAACAACCATTTTTCGTGAAGAAAAAAGCCCTGTCTCCTAAACCTGACACTTTCTGCAGGAGGCTCACAAGTTTCTGATGAAACCCATTAAAAAAAAACGGAGAGGAGACACTTGCTGGAAACCCATTGCGCATTTTACAGACACCATCGACACAGAACACATCTTTAAACACACTAAGAAAAGAAAACCAGAAAAAACATAATCGATTTTTCAGCCTTCACTCTGACCAGCCCCAGTGATGAGTATTTTAGTGGCAAGGCAGCTCTCCTTGCCATCTCACTGCCTCCCTGGGCAGCCAGCACACTGGCTAGGACACCCTCCCAGCTGCTATGCAGGCAAATAAACACGCACATGAAATTGTGTGCTACAGAAACACAGCACTTAGAGGATGTGAGGATCTCAGGGACAGGCACTGGGGCAGCCAGCAGAGCCTTCCAGGACTCCCACTTGCCCTCCCAGCCAGGGGCACTGGTTGTACCATGTCCTCTGGGGAGACACACACACCCCAGGATATAACACAGACAACGCTTTTGGGGTTTGATCCCTTTGATGTGATGGTGACACCAGGGATGCAGGCTGCAGTTTGGGGAGAAAACCAGCAGAATCAGGCAGGTTGTGCCCCACATACTGCTGCTCCCTGGGGGGGGCTGTCAGCTCCCCACCTTCAAAGGGTGAGGAGGGTGCTGCCTGCCCACCCTGCTTTCATCTCCCTTGTTATCCTGCCTGCAAACA